ATAACTTTTGATGATTCATAATTTTGGCGATATTTTATTTTATCAACTGAATGAGAAACAAAAAAATGATGTATTTTTTTAACAAAATAAAAAATACATCTTCTTTCAACAAAACATAATTACTCTTTTTTTATTATTCCCTGATGAGAAAAAACAAAAAGAGTTTAGTTTTTAGGTAATTAGCATAAAGATTAGTCTCTTTTTTTGTTTTGTTTAATAACAATAAAAGAAGACCTTATTCACGACATAAACAATTATTTTAATTTTTCTAAATTTTTTCTTGTTGAATGAATAACAAATAATATTTTTTTGTTGTAAAATAAAAGTACCCTTTCTTTATTTGAGTAGTTATCTCATTGCCTTTGTTCTTTCTTCTTGAAGAAGAGATGCCTTAAACACCATTATTTTTCTACATTCTACAAGATAATTATTAAACTGTTCTATGGCTATGTGTTGATCACTTGAATTATCAAATACAACAAAACCATATCCTTTACTTTTGTTTGTATCTTTATCATAAACAACACTTGCATCAATAGAATGACACGGATCAAACAGTTGTTTTAATTCAAAGCTATCCATACTAAATGGAAGATTTCTTACAAAAATCACTGTTTCACTTAATCCAAAACTTGTTTCTTTGGTTCTTGACCCATCACTATTATATAATTCATCTCGTTGAATACTCCCTTCACGCCCTCTTTTATATATCTCTTGATGTTTGTCCAATCGTCTCATATAACCATCTGATCTTAATGATGCTTCATACCGATATCTCTCTAAAGGTTCATAAATAAGATCATGACTTACTTGTCTTTTCCTTACTAATGGATCAGAACCCATCCTGTCATATTTTTGATCACTAAAATAAATTTGTTTTCTTTCTTTATCAAAATTTTGTGATTCTTTACTATATGGTTCATAACTTCTAGAATAATCAAAATCTCTTCTTATTGGAAGATCTTTTAATCTTGAAAAACTATCCCGAAACAAAAATGGGACATCAGTCCTGAAAGTGTGTTGGTTTCTTTCTCGACTTCTTGACCGTTCCTTGTGTCCGTGTTGTTTTCTTTCAGTAGCTATGTCCACACGAATGTTTCTACCTCTTAACATCTCGTTATTACCTTCCCTAAGTGCTTTTTGGGCTGATTCTTCCGTATCAAATTCAACATACCCAAATCCTTTTGAGGAACCATCATACTTCTTCATGATAACAACATCAACCACTTTGCCAAACCTTTCAAAAAAATCTTTTAGTTCAAAGTTTTTAATTTGATATTCTAAGTTTCCAACAAACAACCTTCGATTCATTTTACTTCTTTTTTAAGTTCACATAATGTTTTTTTATTAATATTTTTTCTTTATCAAATAATGTTAATAAAATATTTTTCATTTTAAATTCATATAGTTTTTTCTTTTTTGTATCTTGGAATAAATCAATTGATTATGTCTGACAGAAAAGGAATATTTGCTGCTTATTTTAATAAGAAGCACGCCTCAGAAGAAAAAAAAGAAAAAAAAACGGAAAAGACAAATAGGCTTGTTGTGAAAGTAAAAAAAAATAAAGAGATTGAAGACAAAGACGCAGAAAGTTCCCTTGAAGAAGGAGAAATGAATTATGATGAAATGGATGAGTCATCAGAAAATGAGCAAACAATGGAAAGTGATGAAAATGAGGTTAACGAAGAAGAACAAAATGAAAGTAAGGAGGAGAGTATGGAAGAAGATCAAGAATTAGAAGCAGAAAGTTTAGAAGATGATGACTTAGGAGATGAAGAAGAACAACAGATTAGGAGTGAGTTGATGGGATTTTTTAATCATTTAACTAAATCAAAAGAAATGAAAAAAGCATTAAACCATCAAAAACAACACAGCGTAGAAAAAGTAGAAAAGGAAGGAAGTAAGTCAGGAAAAATAGAAAAGAAAGTAGAAGAAACTAAACCACGAAAAGCACAAAAGAAAAAGACTCGTAAAGAGAAAAAACAAGAACGTAAAATAAAAAAACAAGTCAAAAGAAATATTAAAAAGGAAGCTAAAGAAAAACAATCGAAATAAGTAATGAACCCTGAATTTGATTTTACTTTTAATTTATTCATTAGATATTCTGTTATTTTTAAATTGACGTGGTACAAACGTCAATACAAAGAAAAGATTATTTAAAAACCCTGTAGAACTAATTTAATACAATTAAAAATGTTTCAAAGAAATTTAACAATTACTTGTTGTGGTGATGGAGAAACTGGAAAAACTGCATTTATTAAGACATTACTTCACCAAAAACATGATCAATTTCATATTTCAACATTAGATGAAGAGTATTTTTATGACCTTGTTATGGGAAGTAAAACATATAAATTAAAAATATTAGATAGTCCTGGTAATCAAGAATATCGTGGAATGATAGAGTATGATGTTAAAGATTCGGATGGTATTATATTATTTTTTGATACAACAATTGGTCCTTCATTTGTTGACTTAGAAGAATATTATGAGTGTTTTGATCGTGCAGTAATGGGATTTGATCTACCAGTCATTCTTGTTGGTAATCTTCATGAAGACAAACAACCTTCAGTTAGACAAGAAATGATTGATGAATTTTGTAAAAAACATTCGTGCGAATATTTTCCATTAAATTGTGTTAAAGATGAACAAAAATGTATTGAAGCATTAACCGAATTGTATAAGAAGATGGACAAATTAAATTAATAGCATTATTTTTTTTTGTTATTTTAAGAATATTTTTTATTTTAATATAAATTTATAATAAAAGAATTAATAAATAAAATAATAAAAAATTTACTAAAAAAAATAAAAAATAAAACTATAAAAAAATAAATA